GGAGAGAGAGTGAGTGAGCAAGGGGCAGAGAGAAATAGAACTTATATTTTTATGCTGAATTTTGGCTTTTCCTTGAACTTTCACCATTATCATCTTTTAGCTTCATTTTTTTTTTTCTATATTAACTTCTTCACTTCAGGAAACATGTAGTGTTGGGTACCTACTATGTGCTATTTACTCTATTACATTTTGAGGACTAGGAGAAGAACAAGATATCATGTCATTAAAAAAGATATCGTCTCATTTTATTAGATTATTGTGGCCTCTTTGAAGAAGTGTCAATATCTACACTTAATATATGAGAAATAAGATGTTGATAATTAAATGTCTTGTCTGAGGTCAAACTGCATTTGTAGCAGAGCTTGGACTTGATCTTGGAATGACTAACTCTTTTCAAGAATCCTTTTTTACTGTACTTCATTGCTTGGTAGCCTTAAGACTTTAGGGCCAGAGAGACTTTGGCCTACTTTAGCCCAGAAACTGAGATCTCACCATTCAAAAAAAGGGGTAGGAGTGCCTGATGGCTCAGTCTGTTAAGTGTCTGACTTCGGCTCAGGTCATGATCTCATGGTTTGTCGGTTTGAGCCCCGTGTCGGGCTCTGTGCTGACAGCTCAGAGCCTGGAGCCTACTTCGGATTCTGTGTCTCCCTCTCTCTCTGCTCCTCCCCACTCATGATCTGTTTCTCTCTCTCTCTCAAAAAATAAATAAACATTAAAAATATTTTTTTAAAAACCCAAAAAACAAAAAAGGGGTAGTATGAAATAGTATTTAAAAAATTCCCCCAAATGCCCTATCTTTATTAGATTATTTTCCTTAATCAGTAGTCATCACAATTGATCCCTTTTATATAGTGGTTAAAATTTTACCTTGTACTTTCACAAACTGTCTCCATTTTAAGGTTGGCATTGAGAGATAGTACTATGTAATAAAGGTTGTTTTGCATTGAGCTTCTCTGTAAGACCTGATTTTCCCTAAGTTGTGTCAAATTTGCATTACAATAGAGTCTGTAATTCTAGAGTAAAGTTAATGTAAAGGTTGTCTAGGTCAAGTGATCTAATAAATATAAATATACATACAAACACATAAGTCAGTCTTTTTAATTCTTAAAAGACATTAATAAAAATAGAATAAAAGCAGCCATAAACAATATATAAATTAATGGAAAAGGTTGTGTTCCAATAAAACTTTATTTACAAAAACAAAGGGATGCAGACTGTGGGCTATTCATTTGTTGAACTCTCCTCTTAATGGGTATAAAATATTGTCCCATTGTGAAGGATTAATGATTCATGAGTAACCAAGGTGTTTTCCTTATTCCTCTATGGGAGATAGACAATGCTCTTAGTCTTCTAGAACAAAAAGTCAAAAGGATAGTTAATATTTGTATTCTTTTGTTTATAAAATATTTCCATATAGGTGGCTCAGTCAGTTAACTGTGACTCTTGGTTTCGGCTCAGGTCATGATCTCGCAGTTCATGGGTTCGAGCCCGACATCAGCTCTACACTGAGAGTGCAGAGCTTGCTTGGGATTCTCTCTCTTCTCTCTCTGCCTGTCCCCTGCTTGCATTCCTTCTTTCAAAATAATGAGTAAACTTTAAAAAATTAGAGTATTTCCATATTTATATCTACATATACATCTAACTATATAAATGTATATATTAAACACATATTAAAGTGTTCATTGTGTGGGGCGCCTGGGTGACTCAGTTGGTTAAGCATCCGACTTCGGCTCAGGTCATGATCACACGGTCTGCCGGTTCGAGCCCCGTGTCAGGCCCTGTGCTGACAGCTAGCTCAGAGCCTGGAACCTCTTTCAGATTCTGTGTCTCCCTCTCTCTCTGACCCTCCCCTGCTCACGCTGTCTCTCTGTCTCTTTCAGAAATAAATAAAACATTAAAAAAATTTTTTTAAATGTTCATTGTGGAATTACGGAGTTATTTCTGAAATTAGGGAGTATTTTGAATTTTCTTTTATAAATGTGATGACTTTTCTAATTTTTCTGTAATGCGTATTTATTACTGACTGGAATCAGAACAAAATAAAATTATAAAAACAAATTTATCAGTTTTTCCACGTAGGAGGCATAGAAATGGAGAAGAGGCATAGCACTGGGTAGACACTAGAACAAGGAAAAAGAAGCTGCTCAGGCATGTACCAAGGTTTAACAGATCTGACAATATGAGTTTTTTTATTTTTCAGCTCCGTAAGTAATCTTATTTTTAATATGTATTTTTGAGGGAGAGAGAGGGAGACAAGGCACGAGCAGGGGAGGGGAAGAGAGAGAGGGAGACACAGAATCCGAAGTAGGCTCCAGGCTCTGAGCTGTCAGCACAGAGCCAGATGCAGGTCTCGAACTCACAAATGCAAGATCATGACCTGAGCCAAAGTTGGAGGCTTAACCAAGTGAGCCACCCAGGTGCCCCCCTGTCCAAGTATTCTTATTGACTGATCTGTGAAAATGAATCTGGGCCTTTTAAATGGATTACATTTTCTAGTTATGATATTAAATTTTGTCAGGAAGCATTAAAGATACATTAGAAGGAGAAAACAGTTTGCTTTCTGATTCCAGTGTGCTTACACAAAAAGCTTATGCAGGACAAGTGGCTTCCCTATTGTTTAGCTCCTGTAGCGTGGTGGCTTCTCCAGTGCCTAGCTTCTATGGTACAGCTCCCAGCTGCCCAAAGGTGTTCCTGGTAATGCCCTCTTAGGTGATTTTGTAGTGGAATGCGTCTGCTAAAACACTTCCTATGAACTCCCATGAGCATGAATTTCTGATAAGTTCCAAAGAAGAGATTTCTAGCAAGTTTTACTGGTGTGGCACGACAGCAGCCTCTCTGCCATCCGGTCAGCCATGGCTGTGTCCTTTCCACCAGTGTTTGTATCTGACCCGTACTGGAGGAGAGTGGGACTGAGAAGGAACTCTTCCTTGGGCATTCAATCTCAGTCTTGGGGTTAGTGATTGCTCCTTATATATGTTATTTCTGTACAGTGAAACCTTGGATTGCGAGTAATTTGTTCTGCGAGTGTTCCGCAGGATGAACAACCATTTCTTTTTCTTTTTCTTTTTTTCTAATATTTTTATTTATTTCTAGGAGAGAGAGAGAGACAGCGTGAGCAGGGGAGGGTCAGAGAGAGAGGGAGTGACAGACTTCGAAACAGGCTCCAGGCTCTGAGCTGGCAGTCAGCACAGAGCCCGACACAGGGCTCGAACCCACGAACCGCGAGATCATGACCCAAGTGAAAGTCGGACGCCCAACCGACTAAGCCACCCAGGCGCCCCTGAACAACCATTTCTAATAAATTTTAACTTGATAAACAAGAAATGTCTTGCAATATGAGTAGTACATAATGCTGAATGTCACACGATCACAACTGAGTCAATGGTATACAAGTCCTTTGGATTATAAGCATGTTTCTGGAATGAATTATAATCACAGACCAAGGTTTTACTGTATTTATTTTATTATTTCTTTTGTTTCTTTTATTTTTTTAATTTTTGTTTATTTTTTAAAGAGAGAGTCTGAGTGGCAGAGGGGCAGATAGAGAGGGAGAATGTCAAGCAGGTTCCACAGTATCGGTACAGAGCCTGATGTGGGGCTCGAACCTACAAACCCTGAGATCATGACCTAAGCCAAAGTTGGACACTTGACTGACTAAGCCACCCAGGTGCCCCTATTATTTTTTAATGTTTTTTTTTTTTTGAGAGAGAGAAAGAGCATGCGTGTGTGCAAGCAGTGGAGGGGAAGAGAAAGGGAGAGAGAGAATCCCAAGCAGGCTTCCCTCTGTCAGCACAGAGCTTGAACTCATGCACTGTGAGATGACCTGAGCTGAAATCAAGAATGAGATGCTTAACTGATTGAACCACTCAGGTACCTCTGCTATTTCTGTATTTAGAATGGTCTTTACTTCTTCTTAGCCAATCCCTTGATACTGCAATTTTCTATTATAATTAGTAATTTTTTCTTTAATTTGAGAGGGAGAGAGTGTGTGCAAATGGGGGAGAGGGATAAAGGGAGAGAGATAATCTTTTTTTTTAAATTTTTGATGTTTTATTTATTTCTGAGAGAGAGAGACAGCATAAGCAGGGGAGGGCCAGAGAGAGAGGGAGACACAGAATCTGAAACAGATTCTAGGCTCTGAGATAGCTGTCAGTGCAGAGCCAGATGTGGGGCTCGAACCCACAAACCGTGAGATCATGACCTGAGCCAAAATCGGACGCTTAACCGACTGAGCCACCCAGGTGCCCCAGGGAGAGAGAATCTTAACCAGGCTCCATGCTCAGTGCAGAGCCCCACACGGGGCTTGATCCTACAGCCCTGGGATCATGACCTAAACCAAAATCAAGAGTTGGACGCTCAACTGAGCCACCCAGGTGCCCCATATAATTAGTAATTTTTTATATTAAACTTTCCCTGTTAAAATTACCATGTCATTTATTTCTCCTGATTGGACCTAGCCTGATACACGAACACATTAAACCTGGCTGCTTACGATATCTGGGGACCAAGTAGACAGACTCTAAAGTAACCAAGAAGAAGCCAACTAAATTGGGAAAGTGAATATTGACCTTTCTGACAGTTACAGAAGGACTGAATTAGGAGCAGATTTTTAATCTAAATCCAAATGCTGTTGCTCTTATTTTCTGAGTTGTATGAAACTACTCTCGGTCCCTTTCAGTTTTACATTGCCTAATTGATATGGACTTTATGTCTTCAAGTTAGTTTCATGCATATGGTTAAATTATCTTTTTCTAGAATGGCAGTGTTCTGTAATGGCAAGTATAGATTTGGAGCAAGACAGATATGTTTGAATCCTGACTTCATCGCTGACTAGCTATATGAACTTATGTCAATAAATTAGTTTTTCTGAGTCAGTTCAGATTCCCCCTTTGTAAAATGGGGAAAATAGTACCTACCTAATGTGTTACTAATGGTTTATTTCTTTATTTTTATTTTATTCAAGTTCCAAAACGACTTTATTACATACAGAGGGGAGGGGTTCAATCTTTCTTGGATGCCGTTTTCCTCATAGCTGCCAGGACGTTGCTTAGCTCTTCTCCCTTCCTCTTGGCACTGATGCATGTCCCCACCCTTTTCTTGATGAAGTTGAGAGCGCACTTGTCCTTGGAGACCTTGAGCAGCTCCATGGCTCACTGCTGGTAGGGGCAAAGCCGCACACCTCTCTGATCATGTCCCACATGAACTTGGTGTGCTTGGTGAGGCACATGCTCACATTCTTGGTCACCTTGTGGACCTTGTTGAGGTCCCTGGCCATGAGGCAGCTCATAGCCATGGCTGCTGGTCCTCACTGGCTCCCACCTGTTACTGAAGGTTTAATACCAATGAGTGTAGGGGCACCTGGGTGGCTCAGCTGGTTAAGCATCCGACTCTTGATTTTGGCTCAAGTTATGATGTCATGGTTCGTGGGTTCAAGCCCTGTGCCAGGCTCTGTGCTGACAGCTCAGAGCCTGGATCCTGCCTCAGAGTCTGTGTCTCCCTCTCTCTCTGCCCCTCTGCTGCTTGCACTTCTCTCACTCTCTCTGTTTGCCACACACCCACTTGTGCTCTGTCTCTCTCTCTCTCAAAAATAAATAAACATTAAAAAAATTAAAACAAATGAGTGTAAAGGTCATATGGTGTTTCATACATAATAATTGCTAAATTGTAGCTAGTAACTGTTGCTATTATTATTCAGTGTTCACAGAAAATTATTCTCCAAGTAGATGTAGGGGAAACAAGAGTTACGATCTGGGGCACCTGGGTGGCTCAGTAGGTTAAGCGTCCAACCTTGGTTTAGGTCATGATCTCATGGTTTGTGAGTTTGAGCCCTGCATTAGGATCTGTGCTGACAGCTCAGAACCCGAAGCCTCCTTCAGATTCTGTGTCTCCCCCTCTCTCTGCTCCTCCCCTGCTCATGCTCTGTCTCTCAATAATAAATAAAAGTGTTAAAAAATTTATTAAAAAAAGAGAGTTATGATCTTAAAGCTGGACCCACATATATGTTAGGAGCACATTGTAACATGACGATATGAAAGACCCTTTCTCTCCCTAGCCCCCTTTTCTTTCAAGAAGACGCACATCTATAGGCTATACTTGAACAGTGAAGAACCAGGATGAAGTCCAGGAACAGATGTTGGAAGCAGCAGTGGTCCTGTCAGGTCCTGACTGAGCTCAGCATGCTTAGGTATGAGTGAGAGGGGCTGGCTCTCACTTAAAGAATAGTGACTCAAGATTAGGTAACGATCATATGATGCCAATGGTTATGATCCCTGCCGCTGTCTGTGTAAGTAGGTTTGCTCTTTATTTAGCTTCCCATGATGCCTAAGGAATAAAGAGGAGAAAGCTTATTTGATCAGCACACCAGGATGTATGCAGGCATTGGGTGGTGCTGAGCGTCTTTCACTGGGGCTCCTACTGTGATTGACTCCTTACCAATAAAACAAAATGTGCCTGTAGCTTGGCTCCCTTTTCATGTCTCCGTAAAACAAGACAGATTCCAATTCTTCTAGCCTGAGACCATGCCCTGGCTGAGCTTCCGGTGTGTCACATCTGCCTCTCTGTGTGTCTGTTTGCCCCTGTACTTGTCAGTGACATTCATCAGTGGAGGGAAATAGCTTCTGCAGTTGTAGGTCTGTTGTTGAATTTGGACAGGCCTAGTTATGCCTGGTTCAGGCTTGTCTTCTATGGAAGTAGAGTAGGTGGTATTCTTTGGATTAAGTTATTAAGGACCCGTGTTAACATTTATTACCTACTTTGTGCAAGATTCTGTACTAAATGTTAATAAATTATCTCCTTATAAACTTCAGGAGACTATGAAGTAGGTGCTATTATTATCTAATTTTATAGATAAGAAAACTGAGGCTTATGTTAAGTGATTTATCCAAAGTTACACAGCTCAAAAGTGGCTTTCATTCATTCATTGTGGATTTTTTGAGCAATATGTATACATTGAGTACTGTTCTAAATGGTAGCGATATACCAGAAAACAAGAGAGGCAAATACCCCTGACCTCATGGATCTTATATTTCTAATGGTAAAAAAACAAAAAATTATATATATATAATTATATATATATATATATAATATGCTAATAAGTGCTAAGAACTCTAAAGCAGAGAAAGGATATAGGGAGTATGTATGTAAGATTGCAGTTTAGAGAAAGAAGGCGGTCAGAAAAGGTGTCACTGAGAAGGTGATATTCAAGCAGAGCTGTGAGGGATGTGAGAGAGTGAGTCATGAGGATATCTGCAGGGAGGAGAATTCCAGGCAAAGGGAACAGAAATGTCAGAGGCCTTGATGCAGGAATATTCCTGGCATGGTCCAGTAACAACAAAGAGGTTAATGGGAATGGAGCAGAGTGAGCAGAAGGGAGAGTGTGAAATGAGATAAGAGAAGTATCCAGGTTGTATAGGACCTTATCGCCATTGTAAAGATTTGGCTTTCACTCTGAGACTGGAGAGTTTGGGCAGAGGAGTGATATATATAGACTTTTGCTTTAATAGGACCAATCTATTATATTGAGAATAAACTGGGGTTAAGGGGTCTAGCAAGCAGGAAGAGCACATTAAGTGATTTGTCAAAAGATTAAAATTTTTCTTAATGAATCCTTTTTTTATTTTTTACAGATAGTTTATTGTCAAATTAGTTTCCACATAACACTCAGTGCTCATCCCCACAAGTGTCCTCCTCCATGCCCATCCCTCCTCCCCCCAACATCCATCAGTCCTCAGTTTTTGTCAGCATTCAAGAGTCTCTCATGGTTTGCCTCTCTCCCTTTCCCCCACCATTTCCCCCCTTCTTCTCCCCCATGGTCCTCCATCAAGTTCCTCCTAATCTTCCTATATGTGCAAACATATGATATTTGTCCTTCTCTGCCTGACTTATTTCGCTCAGCATAACACCCTCAAGGTCCATCCATGTGGCTACACATGGCCAGATTTCATTGTTTCTCATTGCCAT